GAAACTCCGTCTCAAAAAAAAAAAAAAAAAAAAAAGATTTAGGGGAACTAAAATTGGCTGAGCACAAAAGGGAGTTCAGCAAGAACAGAGGAACAAAAAAGATGGGACAAGTAGAAAGCAAGTAACAAAACAGCAGACCTAAACCTGATCATGACAATACTTAAGTTACACGAGAAACAACTAAACAGTCAAAAAGCAGAGATTGTCAGACTGGATATCGCAAGTGCCAATTAAGTGGTATCTGTTAGAGACACACTTTAAATTCAAAGTCACAGAAATGTTGATAGTAGAAATATTAAAACACATATACTTGCAAATTTACAACAGAAAATATGTGCAGTCGATTATATATTATTAGACAAAATAGATTGTCAAAAAGAAATATTACTAGAGGCAAAGAAGGACTTTTCATATGGATAACAGTTAATATTGCCATAACAGTTATAAATGTATGTGCTCTTAAAAACGGAGTTCTAGAATACATCAAATCAAACATTCAGAATTGAAAGGAGAAATAGACAAATCTGTGATTATAGTTCAGGATTCAACACTCCTTGCAATAATTGAGGGAATAAGTAGTTAGAATATAATCAGGATATTTAGAAGCTTTTTAAAACCCTGTCAGTCGTCTGGGTGTAGTAGCTTATGCCTCTAATCCCAGGACTTTGGGAAGCTGAGGCGAGTGGATTCCTTGAGTTCAGGAGTTTAAGACCAACGTGGGCAACATGACAAAACCCCATCTCTACAAAGAATAGAAAAAATTAGTTGGGCATGGTGGCTTAAGCCTGTAGTCCCAGCTGCTTGAGAGGCTGAGATGGGAGGATTGCTTGATCCTGGAAGGTTGAAGCTGCAGTGAGCTGTGATTGTGCCACTGCACTCCAGCCTGGGTGACAGAGCAACACCTTGTCTCAAAAGAAGCAAAACCAAAAATGAAACACCAAAAAATGCTGTCAGTCAACTTGACCTAATTAACAATTAGAAATTACATTATTTTCAAGAAAAAGTGGAATACTCACCAGAATAAACAATATCCCATGTTCAATAAATTTGGAAATACTAGGCAAGGCACAGTGGTACACACCTGTAATCTCAACTACTCGGGAAGATGAGGCAGGAGGATCACTTAGGCTGTAAGTTCAAGACCAGTCTAGGCAATATAGTGAAACCCTGTCTTATCCCATGTTTAAAAGAAAACCAAACTTTTATTTCAAAAATACTAAAAACGTACGGAGGCCACGTGTGTTGGCTCATATCTGTAATCTCAGCATTTTGGGTGACTGAGGCAGGAGGATTGCTTGAGCCCAGGAGTTTGAGACCATAAGGAGACCCTGTCTCTACAAAAACAATATAAAAAATTAGCTAGGTATTGTGGTGTATGCCTGTAGTTCCAGCTGCTTACAATGCTAAGGTGGGAAGATCATTTGAGCCTGGGAGGTGGAGGCTTCGTTGAGGTGTGATTGTGCCACTGCACTGCAAGCTGGGTGACAGAGCGAGATCGCTGACTCAAAACAAAACAAAACAACAAAAGGAGCATTTCCTGACACACAGAAGTAGCAGATATCTAGGAAATGTCCAAATATTTAGAAATAATAAAGATCAAGTGCAAATCAATGAAATTTGAAATGGAGAAATAATAGTAAAAATATTAATAACTCAAATGCTAGTTCTTTGAAAGACATTGATAAAATTGACAAATTTTTAGCCAGACTGATCAAGAATAAAGGAAAAAATGCAAATTACCAATATCAAGTACAAAAGAGACATCTCTACATATCTCATGGATCTTGATAACAAGGGAATATTGTGAACAACTTTACACCAACAAGTTTGATAACAATATTAAATGGAGAAATTCCTTGTAGAGAAGAAATGGAACAGACTCAAGAAGAAATAAAAAAATCGTAGCCCATTATTAGGACAAGAAATTGAATTAGGTTTTGAAAGTCTTCCTACCAAGAAGCATTGAGGCCCAGATGGTTTTACTGATGATTTTTTTCAAACGTATAGTAAGAAATACTGCCTATTCTATACAATGTTGTTCAGTTAGCAAAGGAAGAAGTAACACTTGCCAACTCATTTTATGAGGCTAGTATTACCCAGATACTAAAGTCAAAGGCATTCACAGAAGGGAAACTGCAGACCAATATCCCTTATGAAGAAACACAAAAATCCTTAACAAAACATTAATAGATTAAATCTTGCAGTATGTTAAAAGGAAAATATGTGAGGCTGATTTCGGGAATGTAAAATCGGTTTAACCTCCAACGGTCGGTTAATGTAAGATAGGTCTCGAATCCAGTCACTTCTTTTTCACTACTGCTATTGCCCTGCTCAAAGCTATCCCCGTTCTCTCTTGAATTGTTCCTTAGCCTTATTTCAACACAGCGTCCAAACCTACTTTAAACATCTCAGTAAGATTATGTCCCTTAGCTTACAACCCTCGTTTTCTGTATCCCACAGAATACAAGCCTAAGTCCTCAAAAGAAAGTGTCAGGCCTTATTCAGTCTGACTTTTTTTTCCAGGAATTACATCTGAGTTTATTTTCTCCCCATTGTGTCTGAAATCAGTTTGTTTTCCCCTTCTTGCTGCAGTTTGTATTTTGTGTTCTCCCTACTTTTCTGGGTCCTGACAGAATTGGAAGTGGTATCACTTGATGGCTTAGGTGGCTCTGTATCTTTGTTGGGTTATCTAGATTCTGTTCTGTTCTGGGTTCGTATGTGACTTACCCTAGTGATTTTGCTTCTTGGTTAATCTCATATCCATACTCATACCCATGGAAAAGTAAGCTCAGTCCTTATACTGCCTCACTCAATTCTTGCCTACTGTGGAAATTTCAGTGCAGAAGGGACAGAGATGGGGGGTGCGCATGGATGGGGGACTTTGATCTCTTTCCTCTTATTTATCTTTTCTCCTCCATTACACTTTCTTTTCCTCAGCTATCAGAAAAGGATAAGGCTGTGGCTTCTTTTCTCTCTGTTACTGTAATCTATTTGTCAGCTCACCTGTGTGGCTCCTGGGTGATGGGGTCAGTTTAGGAGTGAGCTGTTAGGCCTCTCTGTTGTGCTCCACAATGTTTTGTTTCTTTACCTAATGGCTGTGTTCCAAATTGTATCATATTATGTTTCTTTCCTTGTTCGGATGTCCTGGGTGAAAAAAACTTTTTTCAACTGGTTTATTACGATTTTATCCCCCTCATTTTGTTGGTTATTGGGCAAGGTAAATTCAGAGGTGCAGCTTCTGTTGGGTTTTTTTTACTTAGAAAACTTACTTAGTTGCAGCCAGGTGTGGTGGCTCACACGTGTAATCCCAGCACTTTAGGAGGCTGAGGTGGGCACATAGCTTGAGGTCAGGAGTTCAAGGCCAACCTGGTGAGACCCTGCTTCTATTAAAAATACAAAATTAGACAGGTGTGGTGGTGTGCACCTGTAATCCCAGCTACTCAGAAAGCTAAGGCATGAGAATTGCTTGAACCTGGGAGGTGGAGGTTGCAGAGAACTGAGATCGTGCCACTGTGTTCCAGCCAGCCTGGGTGACAGAGTGAGACTCGGTCTGGAAAAAACAAAAACCTTAGTTGCTTATTTGCCTGTTTGTCTCACGCTGATTGATGATCCTGTTAGCTCATAAAGTGCTGGTATTATTTACATAGATACACAACACATGTACACAGTAGATTCATGTAAATGAAATGTATATAGATATATGTGTTAAGTATTTGAACATATTTATGTGTTTTCTTCTTAAGTAATTTGTTGAACAGGGAGCTAGCATGTACTTCGTATTTCCTATAGTGTACAACATTGGATATAATGTATAGTAACTTTGCAGTGCTTGCTTCTAAATTAATTAAATCAAAGATGTATATTTATTTGGCTCTTAAAGCATTGTTCCAATAATAGAGTAGAAAAATAAATTTTAAATTGGGTTTATTTTTTACTGAGATTCTTTTCTCTCTTTATCCATAATACAGGTACATCAAGAGAGTGTACACATGATTGAAGTCACAAGTAATTTGATTAATGAAACTCTAGCAAATCACCCTGAGTGGGCAAAGTAAGAATGTTGTTTTGAAAAAGAGGAGAGATGGATGACCTAGTTTCAGCATCTGTTTGCATGAAATGACCTTCCTTGATCCAGCTGCATTGGAAGATAAAAGATGGGGTTTGCCAGAACTTTGATAAATATTGTCATTTTTGCAGAAGAATGTCATGTAATACATAGGGTGGGAGGAAAATGCTGAGGTTTTTAGGTACAATTTATGGTAAATGAAACCTTATGTTTTATAATTGAGGTTTACAGCATGTTTATAATTTACAAAGCACATTTGCCTGTCTTACGTCATTTGTTCCTCACAGTGACTGTGGGACGTAGATTGAAGAGATTATCCCTATTTTACACTTGAGGAAAGAAGATCAAAGGTTAAGGAACTTGAGATAATAATCCCCCAGCGGCAGAGTCATAACCACTGCCTCTGATCAACTGAAGGAAAGTTTCCACTATAATGTGGAAACTGTAACTCTTCAACTTTCTATATAATTTTTAAATTTATGTTATTTATTTATTTATCTTTTAAGAAGTGAGGTCTCACCATGTTGTCCAGGCTGATCTTGAACTCCTGAGCTCAAGCAGTTCTCCGGCTTCAGCTTACCAATTAGCTGGGACTACAGGTGTGCACCACCACACCCAGCTTTGTAATTCTTGACATGTTCCCATATTGTATTATTTTTGAGGAAAGATAGGTTAACTATGGCCCAGTCCCAAATTCGACCATATGCTTTTGTATAAAAGTTTTATTGGAACATACCTATGTCTACTCATTTACATATCTTCTCTGGCTGTTTTGAGGTTTCAGGGAAAAACAGAATTGAGTAGCTGTGGCAGAGGTTATATGTTCAGAGCCTAAAATATTTACTCTCTGGTCTTTTATAGAAAAAGTTTGCTAACTTCTGTTTTAGAGGATCTCTGTGTATGTGTTTAATTTGGCTTTTGGAAGAATTTTAAGTTTTTGTGGGTAATATTCAGCAGAGCTGTGCTATCCATCTAACTGAACTTGATGACACATTGTATTTCCTGCTTTTTATTAACCTCAAGGCAGTTGTAAGTCAGGAAATACTCTGTCAGTTTTGGGCTTATAAGTTGAGATTTAGCTTGATTTTTTTCCATTGCCTCTACTTTATTCTTTTATGTACAACCTGCATAGGATATTACTTGAACTTGATTTAGAATAATATTTGAATTTTCTTTCTTCTTGAGATAGGATCTCGCTCTGTCACACAGGCGGGAGTACAGTGGCACAATCATGTCTCACTCCAAGCTTGATCTCCTGAGCTCAGTCAATCGTCCCACCTCAGTCTCCTGAGTAACTGGGACTACAGGCCTGAGCCACTATACTTGGTTAATTTTTATATTTTTTTTAGGTGTTTCACCATGTTGCCTAGGCTAGTCTTGAACTCCTGGGCTCAAGTGATGTTCCCTCCTCAGCCTCCCAAAGTGCTGGGATTACGGGTGTGAGCCACTGTGCCTGGCCTATTTGAATCTTCTTAAAAGAAGCATATTTCTTTTGAAATATAAATTGTGATATACTTATGCAGTGGAGTATTACATAGGATTTAAAAAAATGGACTAATGATACCAACTTGGATGACTCTCAAAATAAGTATGCTGGCCAGGAATGGTAGCTCACGCCTATAATCCCAGCACTTCGGGAGGCCAAGGTGGGCGGATTACCTGAGGTCAGGAGTTTGAGACCAGCTTGGCCAACGTGGTGAAATGCCATCCCTACTAAAAATACAGAAATGACCCAGGTGAGGTGGCACACATCTGTAATCCCAGCTACTTGGGAGGCTGAGGCCCTAGAATTGCTTGCACCCATAAGACGGAGGTTGCAGTGAGCCACGATTGTGCCACTGCACTCCAGCCTGGGAGATACAATAAGACTGTCTCAAAAAATAAAATTAAAAAGTATGCTAAGTGAAAAATTTTCAGGCAAAAAATAGCCCAAATGGTACAATTTCATTTATTTAAGGTTCTAGGAAATACAAACTAATCTGTAGTGACAGTAAGATTCATAGTTGCCTGTGGATTGGGCTGGAGCTCTAGGGAGGACATACATAGAGGTGCAGGGAAATTTTGGGGAGTAACAGATGTGTTTATTATCTTGATTAAGGATATAAGAAGAGAAGTAGCGTCATCAGATTTCATTCTAGAACAGGCTTTTCATCCGCTTTGTGGAGAAAGATTGAAAGTATACAAGATCTGAGCCTTTGAGACAAATTAAAAGCTTCTAGAGTAAACTGGATGAGAAGTGACAAAGCCCTGAACTGTAGACAGTTTCAGTGGAGGTGAACAGGAGGGACATTTATAAGGTCTTAAGGGGTTAGTTGGTGATTAACTGGATATAGGAGGAAGAAATCCAGCATAACTCATGTTTCTAGGTTTGGAAATTAGTGGGTGATGGTGGATTTACTGTGACAGGAAATGGAAGAGCAGATTTGGTAGGGAAACTAATTGACCTGTTTACCTGTTGAGTTTGAGGTACCTGTGGTAAGTGGAGACATCCAGTAGGCTGTTGGCTATGTAGGTATGGGTATTTTTTAACTATGAAGTTAAAAAAGGGGCAGTTGCTGTGTAAGTCCAGGAATCAGATGAGAGGTCTCGTTGGATCTAGAGCTCTGGCAAGCATCAGCATAAAAAATGTATATAAGGTATGGATAAGATGCCTGAAGGTATGCCCTGTGGATATCTTGAGCCTTTAAGGATAAGCAAAAAACAATAGGTTGACAAAGGAAAACGAGAATGGACTATGAGAGAGGTAAGAGGAAAACCAAGGGAAGAGAACATTTTGGGAAAGTAATAGTGGTCAGCAATGTCAAATTGCTGTAGAAATTTGTAAGAGTGAAATTGGATTTAGCAACTGCAAGAGCAGTTCATTGGTGTAGCAGAAGCCCATTAGTTGCAGTGAGTTGAGAAATTACTGGGACTGAAGAAGTAGTAGAAAGCAGGTATAGACTGCTCTTTCCCAAGTTTGCCTATGAAGTGTAGCTGGCAAGAACATTATGTTTAATTTTTTAAGATGGGGAAGCCTTGTTTATATGCTGTAGGGAAAGAACTGGTAGAGTGGAAGGGGTGGTAAATATTAGGAGAAAGAGGTAATTCTTAGTGCATTTCTCTGAGGATGAAGCATGAGATGAACCCATGGCACAAATGGAACAACTGGGGAAAGCAGGCCAGAATGGGTACGGATGTAAATGCTGTGAGTTAAGTGGAGAGGGGAAGGCAGGAAATTAGGGGCCATATATCTTTGAATTAAGATGTGTGGTCTTCTGTTCTCTGGCTCTTTGGATATAATACATTTTGAAAGGAGAATGGGAAAAAGGAACCAACATGTATCAGGTACGGGATTTTAGGAAGAAGCCATCTGGGATCCAGGCAAGTGGATAGAGCCTTTCATGGGATGATAGACCTTCCAAGTGTTGTCCTCCAGGGCTCAGCCTCAGCCTTCACATCCAGAGGGCTCCCTTTGGGTCATTCTTCTATACTGGAAAGTAAATGTAGAGCCCTTCTGTAGTGCTTTTGAATAGTAGTACATTCTCCCTGCAACTGTATCCAAGGCACACACAATCTGAGCAGCCCCAGATCAGGTAGTAGAAGAAAGGTTTTTTTTGTCGTTTGTTTGAAATTTTGAAGTAGCCGGGGGTGGTGGCTCATGCCTGTAATCCTAGCACTTTGGGAGGCCGAAGCAGGTGGATCACAAGTTCAGGACCAGCCTGGCCAACATGGTGAAACCCCATCTCTACTAAAAATACAAAAATTAGCTGGGCATAGTGATGGGTGCCTGTAGTCCCAGCTACTTGGGAGGCTGAGGCAGGAGAATCGCTTGAACTGGGGAGGTGGAGGTTGCAGTGAGCTGAGATCCTGCTACTGTACTCTAGCCTGGGCGACAGAGCGA